CGCACGCACACCTACACAGAATTGTAACATGCCAGCCAACTATACATATATAAAGACATACACTCTTCTGTTTGTATTACATAGTTCATAATAAAAAGATAATTAAAACAGCTATAAGAATTATCTAATTTTTTAAAATGGAAATAGTTAAAGGTCCAAAAATAAAGGAATTACTAAATAAATTCTGGTTCATCAACTTGAAGGAATTATGTAGCCACTAAAAATCATTGTGAACACTCTATGGAAACATGGGAAACAAAATACAACATTAAGTTAAAAATTACCAAGTACAAATTGCGTATATGTTACAGTTAACAGCTTTACAAAGTACATATCTGTGAGGCAAATGAGCAGAAGAAAAAGTGAAAAGTGATATATTGATGTGGTGGGACAATTCTTGGCTTGTCTCTATTTTAATAATACAATGAACAAATAGACTTGACATGCCTGATACTAATCTAAGCACCTTATAAATATTATCTTATTTTATTCTCTCTACAATTCTATGAAGTAGGTACTGTTATCACCCCCATTTTACAGCTGAGGAAAGGGAAAGGGAGAGAGGTTAGGTAACTTGCCCCAAATCATTAATAATTGGCACAGCTAGTAAGTTCCAGAACTGACATTTCAACCCAGCCTCCAGCTCCCATATTTACACACTTAGTCATTATGCTGTGATCTCTGATATTGCTATGATGTTTGCACAGTTTAAAAGAAGAGACAAATATTTTGCAGGCAGGAATATCTTGATGCTCAAATTGTAGTCATTCTTTTCTAAGTTTCAAAATATTTTCTTCTTCAGTACTGAGCAAAATTCTCAAAATCGGTATTCACTAAGAAGCTGTCAGTGAGCTAGCAGTAGGTCACGGTTATTAAAGCACACACTTGTCCACCTGAATACGTATCACTCCTGAAACTTATTGAACTAAAAATGCTTTTCTTCTCATTTGTACCACTGGAGTAGATTACAATGAGCATTTGGGCCCAAGGGGAATATTTTAATAAATTGAATTGATATCTTCTTCGACTTTTCACATATAGAAAAGTGGTTTAAATAAAGTATCTATATACTAATATACAGATCCAATTAAATCCATTGTGTGTGTGTATGTGTGTAGAAATTAAATGGAGAGAGCAAATCTGATAACCAAAAGGAAGATTATAGCTGTGCTGTTTAAGTATAAAAGCTGGTTCTGAGTTTCCTTGGGCCAAACAAAACAAGAAACATAAGTTCTTTGCATCTTGGGATAATGACTATAGTTGCTAAGCCAACCATTTCCTGGGTACCATATTAAGTCATTTACATTTTTTTATTTCAGTTACTTCACACACAGCTCTTTAAAACAGATATTATCCCTCATGTAACATATGAGGAAGCTGAGTTTCACAAAGACTAAATTGCATAAATTCATACAACCAGAAAATGGTAGAACCAAGATTTAAAGCCAAAATCCATCTACATCTTAAATATATTTTTTGTACCTCTCTTTTTATTCGGGATGAAGGGGTTAGAAAAGCCAACTTCCTATTTTCCTCACTGTAAATTACAAGTAAAATTTCTCACACAGAGCTTTATAAATACAGATGATTTATCCATATTTGGGGAGGTGGGAAGGGAGGGGGAGAGAGAGACCGAGCTTGACAATATGTTTTTTTCCCCAGCCAAACCTCCATAAATAAGAACTGGATATCAACAGAAAAGGCTATATGGATTCAAGTTTCCATGTGGAAAGAAAATTTCCTCTCTTCACACATTATGATGGCAACGTTGTATTTGAACACCTGAACCCCTCAACTTTGGCTATTTGTCCTAGAGGCAAAACAAGGGACCTCTCAGTCCCAGAAAGCTGGGCAACACAGCTAAAGAACCCAACTTGCCCATTGTGCCCCAGCAGAAGAAAACAAATTTCAGCATAAAGCAGCCATTTCTTTTCTTTCTACCTACTCTAAGGAATCTGGGAACAAATGGGTACAGTGCGCCCCCTTGTGAGTGGAAGAGGACATACAATTTCCTGAGTGACAGCAGCCCTTAGCACAAGCTGGGAAGGGACCCTGTAACTCAGGGCCCCAGATTCCAGGGGCACCGTATACAAGGCATTTGTGGAGATGTGGAGTGTGGTGGTAATTTTGTACCCTCTCCCAAGGCCAGCCCTAGGACACATAGAGAAACAACTAAAATGGGTCTTTATTGGACACAAAATAGCCTTACTGCAAAACCAACATGAATACCATGAACCTGGATCAATGAACCTGTTTCTGCCACTAACTACTCAAGTGACCTTAAACAAGTCACCTAATTCCTCCAGGTCACATTTGCAAATGAGAAAGGTTGACCAGGTTTCTAGGGGTTCATCCAATTCCAACAATGTGAGTCTACCAACAGAGAAAAATTGCCTTCTCTCTGATCCTGTAATTGGCCTTCAAATTTCTGATCCCTTTTATACACTATCACTAACGTTATCTTGTGAAATACAGCTGTGCTCTTGTCTCTCCTGTAACAGAGTATACAATACCTTCCACAAGTGGCCCATTTGCCTACTGTTCTTTGTCTACAGCCAGGTTAGTTCATTCACTCACTTACTCATAAAGCTTTCTTCACTGTGTCCCCATGTGCTCACTTACTTATGTGTCCCTCACTGTGTCCCCATGTCCACACTATCCTGGGCACATGGAACCACTCACCGTTCCCCTAACATGTACCTCCTGCCTTTATGCTGTTCCCTTTGCTAAGAATGCCTTTCCTCATTTTCCTCTAGACAAACTCATACTCATCTCAGTGCAAAAATCATCTCCTTTCTGAAATTTCCCAGTAAGCTATCATCCTCTGTGTATTCTTAGCATTTCATATCTTGAACACAATGCCTCAAAATTACATGTGCACGTGTGTAACAAGATAACATCTTGACACACTCAGAGGTGTAATTTTCTTCCATCCTCTGTGTATTCTTAGCATTTCATATCTTGAACACAATGCCTCAAAATTACATGTGCATGTGTGTAACAAGATAACATCTTGACACACTCAGAGGTGTAATTTTCTTTTCCGGCAATTTCCTTCATCTCTATACTTCCCCCACTCTCAGACAGAGGACTTTTTATATGTACTTCCCTCAGGATAGAGCTACAACTGACAAAATGAACAGAAAAAGGAAGATTCATTGCACAGATTTGAGCATCAAAATGCACTTGCAAGATTCATGGCAAACTTATGAAGTCAATAGCTGTAACAGAAAGGTTTTTTAGGTTTCAAGAGCCTGAACATTTCAAGTACAAGAGTCGGTATGTGTACCTTCAGCAAAAGATTCTGGAGCAAAGAGATGAAGACTCAGCCTCTCCAACCACTCCCATTCCCATGCCCACCAACAGAGTAGAGAAAAGAGTTAGTCATGGGAGTCAGGCTCCCTCCACCTGCCCATCCTCAAGCCTAATGCCAGGTGGGAGCAAGAACTTACACCCCACCTGCCCTCTGGAACCAGAAGGTAGCAACAGGGCGCATGTGCTCTCAGCCAGTGGCAGGGTGGTGGTGAAGAAGGAAATATGGTGGCAAGAGAGGCATGGAGGACCTCTGACTTTCCCCAGAGTGGCAAGAGACCAGAGTCTTTTTTTTTTTTTTTCCTTTTTTGTCTTTTTTACTGACCGGTAACGGGATCGCAACCCTCGGTGTTGCTCCCACACCGCGCTCAGCCAATGAGCGAGAACCAGTCTCCACATGGGATCCAAACCCTTGGCGGGAGCGCCGCCACACTCCCAAGCGGCGCACTTTCCAGTGCGCCACCGGGCCGGCCCAAGACCAGAGTCTTGAAGCTCATGTGCCCCCAAGAAGCACAAGAGATGGATAGAAGGCAACCAGTGATCCCCAAATGGCCCAGAAGTCAGAACAAGGAGGATGCAAAGTGACAACCATGGCCCCAATGACCAGGAACCCTGTGGATGGCCCCTTCCATACGCATTTCTTACTTTTCTTTGTGTCTCCAGTGGCTAACACGGTGGCAAGTAAATATTCACTTTGTAAAATAACATAGCTGGGAAGATGAAGCAGGCAAGTGTTATCAGGCAACCTAGTGCTGTTTGTACCATTTTCTCAAACCCTTCATGTCACCAATCACCAATCCCATTAATAATAAAGCAACTCTAACACTGGTGCTCTGATGAGGAAATATGAAAAACAAATGACAGGTATACAGAATTTCAAAATCTTTGGGGCTACAAGGTCTGTGAGTACAAGCTGAGACTAGAAACAAACACCTGAAGTATTTTTCAATTATTAATACTTTATTATATTACTACTGGATATATTAATTTTTCTCCTAACATTTTATGTAATCAATAGGTCATAAATACATGGACAGTTTCCTTACAAATATAAATATCTAATAGTTCAACTTCATCTATATTTAGCAAATTTTTAAAATAGACATATGTACTAGGTCTTTGTACTTATCCTTACCAATCCACCCCACCTGGCAGAGCCCCTCCCACACACCCAAACATTGTGATTGTTTTTCTTTTTCTTTTCTTTTCTTTTTTTTTTTTTTTTCTTTTTTGCATTTCCATCTACAAGAAACAGAGAACTATTTTACCAACAGATCTCCGAGGGGATGGCACTGGATCAGGGTGACTGCATGACTAGGGGGTGGTTATCACAGAACATTAAGAGAATGGGCCAAGGGCTTCTTAATTCCCCTCCATCTATTTTCAAGGGATTAAGACAGTGCAATATCTCAGGACTATGTAATAATTCTGAAGCATCCCAGAAAGTGAATACTTTCAGGGGTCTTCAAAAAGTTTATGGAAAAATTCCTATTATCCTTTAATTCAATTTTTTCAGGAACTATTTGAAGTACCCTTGTATATGTAACACAGAACTTTGAGAATTCCAAGCAGGTCTTATAAGAGTCCTATGAAGTGGAGAGAATTGGGGATCAGACGGGACTTGTTGCAGAGTGCTGGGTAAGGAGTGGTATTTCAATTGCTTCTTCAGCTGAGTTGACGTGCAGCTCTTAGCCCACATGTTGGACCACGATGGGAGTGACACAGGTGCAGCCAACAGTCACCAGCATCTTCTCCAGCCGGAAGGCAGGAGTGCAGCCATGGGGAACACTCTGGGTATCCCGCCGGAGGACCAGGACCTCTTGCTGGATGGCGATGGAGTTCATGGAGTTGTCTTCCTGCCCCTGGGCATTGATGCAGCCTGAGTACCTGCACCGGGCCTGTACAATCTCCGAGGGGAACCGGTTGGAGTCCCAGGTGATGCTGCAGAAGGAGCAAGCCAAAGCAGAATGGTGAGGCAAGGCAGAGGACGAGGGACAAGGGATGAGAGCCCCACGGCACTGGCTGCTTGCCCACAGGGAGACGGTTCAGAGTAACACGGTGGCCGGGGGCACAGCACAGACTCTGGAGCCACGCCGCCTGGATTCATACACCACCTTCTGGAAGTTGCTTAACTCCCTAAGCCTCTATTTCCTCAACTATAAAATGGGGATTCTCACATGTCATTCTCCCATGGGATTGCTGAGAACATTCAGTGATAAAAGTGCATATAAAACACCCCACTCTACAATGTTAGCATTCAATTAATGGTAGATCTTTTACTTCATTTTTATTTGCATTGTTATTATTATGATTATTATTCATCCTTTGCCTAGAGATTAAACATCACTAGTAGGTCTCCTCATATACAATCTACAAAGCCTGCTGTTTGGACAGAAAAGCCAAAGCCCCAGAGGTCTGTGAACCCTCTCAATTTCTCCCTCAATAGGCCCCTCTACCTGGAGGCATGAAAACAGCAAAGTCAGTCCCACCAGCGTGCCACTGTACACACTTCCTTCATGTGGGAAGACGTGTAGCAACCCCAGAATCACTTCTAATTGTTCCTGGAATGTTTTTGTACCTATGTTTGGAGAGTATAGGTGGGTGCTTCATGTTCCAAGAACCTATGTCTTAAGACAAAATCACAAGACTGCACCTTCAAGGTCTCAACCTAGCACTCCACTTCCCAAACTGGCCTTCCTCCTCAGCTCCTCTCACATCCCCACTCCTTGAAAGACAATGTCTAATCTGAGCAGATCTCCCAAAACTGACTTTGCTGATTCCTACTTATCCTCATGCAAAGATCCTTATGTGGGCTGCTTTAAAGAACTCTCTCTTCCAACACAGATAGTTCCTAGATTCCAACCTAGGACTGCATGAATCAGAAAAAGGCAGAGAATTGAGAAGAACATGGAAGCAAAATATTAGGACCCACAACCATGTGGATGGACATAACCCAAAACATCCGGAAAAATGTGAGCTCCCAGGTAAAGTGGAATTTTTTCTGTTACAGGTGAATGTGGAATCTTCATTTTTGGTCCTTGTTGCTAAGAAGAGCTATTGAAAAGGCCACAATACTGCAGTTCAGAAGAAAGGAACAGAGCTAAGCAATTGAGAAAATGCCTTCTCTTGAAACGGATATAGTGCTGGAAATAGAAACTATGGAAGCTATAGGATGATTTAAGAATCATTTGATACAGGGGTTTAATAACCTATCGGAAGCAATAAACAAAGGATGGGTACAGAGCTTGAAAAGTATCAGGGATTTGAGAGACTTAACAGAAAGAAGGCTCAAGCCTGATTGTCCACAAAATCGAATTACTGAAGTAAGTGCAAAACAAGAAAAAGTCTCACAGAATGTGGAGAAAAGGGGAAAAGACATCAAGATAAGGAAAGAGGAAAAAATGAGAGACCTACAGGGCCGGTCCAGGACATACAATCTACACATAATAGGAATACCTGAAACAGAGGACAGAGCAAATGGAGTTGAAACAGTAATTAAGGAACTAATTGAAGAAAATTTTCTGGAGTTGAAATGCAAACTAGGACTACAAATAGAAGAAGCACACAGGAAATCTTTAAAATTTGGGGGGGAAAAAGCAACACATAATAGGAATACCTGAAACAGAGGACAGAGCAAATGGAGTTGAAACAGTAATTAAGGGACTAATTGAAGAAAATTTTCTGGAGTTGAAATGCAAACTAGGACTACAAATAGAAGAAGCACACAGGAAATCTTTAAAATTTGGGGGGGGAAAAGCCACAACTAGACATATTCTGGTGACTTTTGGGGGAGGGGGACACGTCTAGCCCACAAGGGGATCCAAACTCTTGACCTTGGAGTTATAAGGCAGTGCTCTAACCAACTGAGCACACTGGCAGGCCCCTGGTGGCATTTTTAAATTTCAAGGACAAAGAAAAAATTCTACAAGTATCCAGACAGAGAAAGCAATTTATCTATAAAGGGGCAAAGGTCAGGTTGACGTCAGATTTTTCTCTTGCAACTCTAAGTGCCAGAAGACAATGGAACAATACCTGAAGGGAAAGTAATTTCTAACCAAGAATTATGTATCCTGCAAAGTTATTATTTCTCTGTAAAGGCAACTGGAAAACATTCTCAAATATGCAGGGGTTATGAAAGTATGTCAACCAAGAACCTCCCCTGAAAATTTTGCTGAATAATTTACTGC